TACAAGTGATTCTCCTGCCTCAGCCTCCCAAGTAGCTGGGATTACAGGCATGTGCCACTACACTCGGCTGATTTTTGTAGTTTTAGTAGAGATGGGGTTTTGCCATGTTGGCCAGGGTGGTCTCGAACTCCCGACCTCAAGTGATCCACCTGCCTTAGTCTCCCAAAATGCTAGGATTACAGACATGAGCCACCAGGCCTGGGCTGGCCTTGTTATTACTGGGACCTCTCACCTTTATTCTGGTGAATAAAGGTCTTCCCCCATTGTCTCTTACCCATTCCTGTTTAATTTGGATTCTTTGTCCTGCAATTTCTCCTCAAGGTGGAGGTTTGTCCTGGAAGAGTTTCAAAATTTCTATTGGTTTTAAGAATTCTAAAAGATATGACTATAGCTTATCTTCCCAATGCTTCTCAATTTTTGTAGCAGGAATAAGATGTGGAGAATATATTTTACTTTCATTAACCCGAAGAGCACGCCAGCAGAGACTGAGAATTCATGTTTATGAAATCAGAAAAGGTAGTTCTTTGCAGATGTTATTTTTTTTTTACTTTGGCAGTGATTAGTTGGCTTAGATATAGAAAAGGGCCTATTTTCAAGTTTTAAAATGGTGTATTGAAATTGATGATTCATATTCTCTTGAGAAGCAGTGGAGACTAGCCCGTTTTGCATCGGATACATCAAATGATTACTGTATTTCTAGTTTTAAAGAATTGAACATTACTCAATGAACTGAAATCTGTTCTCCCCCTTGTTTCAGATCAAAGACTAAATGAAGATTTTAGGCGGTATCAAATGGAAAATTTTTCTAAATATTCATCTGTACAGGTATGTAAATTATAAATTCTACTTGGGAATATTCTCATGTGAAGTTGCCTACAGCACTTTGAAACTTGGCTTACAACTTTGACTCCTGTAATGGGAAAGCTTGTTTTTGCTTAATGAAAGTAAATCTTTTGTCAATAGAAATTGCCCTTTTCCCCCAACCAGAGTTGGAGCTTATATGTTATATATGATATATAAAATGTCTGAGTTCTAAAATGAGAATTCATTCGAATTTTGAAACATCCTAAAATTGTTTCTCAATATACATCTAGTTCTGTGTTTTAATTCTGTGCATTCTCATAAATTATGACAGAAGCATAAGCTAATGCAAATTGTAAATAATATACGGTTTTTTGAAAATGTCTTTTTTCTTTGGTTGTCATATCTTCTTATTTAAATATTGTGTTTAAAAAATTCTTTAGCCAGAAAGGTACAATTATTGGTGGACTTTGCATTACAGAATATTTAAAGGAAGGTAATGACTCATAGGTTAGTGGTGACTCTCTATAGAAGCAAATAGGAGTGTTTTGCGTTTACATAAATGCATTTTATAATTAGAACTTAATTTGGTTTGGATCTGTGTCCCCACCCAAATCTCATATGGAATTGTAACCTCAAGTGTTGGAGGAGGGGGCCTGGTGGAAGGTGATTGGATCATGGGTGCAAATTTCCCCCTTTCCCTTCTCATGATAGTGAGTGAGTTCTCATGAGATCTGGTGGTCTTAAGTGTGTAACATCTCCCCATTCTCTCTCTTCCTCCTGCTCTGGCCATGTAAGACATTCCTGCTTCCCCTTCATCTTCCACCATGATTGAACATTTCCTGAGGCTTCCCCAGCCATGCTTCCTGTACAGCCTCTGTTGGGGAAACCAGCCCCACACCACCTGGCGGGTACCCTGAGTTCAGCGGAGACAAAGGAGTTAGAAATAGTCAGAATAAGCATTTAAAAGGTGGGTTCAGGGGACCGGAACATTGGAGGCTTGCTCATGGCCCAGAGCTCTTCTCCACCTAATTTATTGGTTTACAAGATCTTTGTTCTTAGGGCAGATGGGAGGGGTAGGAAGCGATGAGGAAAAGGATTAATCAATGAAGGAGTACTCGTGAGTCATTCAATAAGATATATAGCAGTGGCAGGTTTCTGTGAATTTCCTTGAGCAAAGGTGTGTGTCTAAACTACTTAAGATCTTTAACTTATAGGGATTGAAACAAGTGGGAGTGGGTCTCAGGAGGAGCCAAGATGTTTGATTATACTCCACTGCTTCAAGGGAGTGTTATCTCCCTGAGCAACCTGTGGAATGCCGCTGAGCTATTATGCTCTCAGGGCATAAAGATATGAAGGCAATAAGGAGACTCTTCTCCTCAGAGGCTCCCCATGGCTCCCCATAGGTGTCTCATACAAGGGAGACCAACTCATCTGGCACCGCAGAACCATGAGCCAACTAAATCTTTTTTCTTTATAAATTACCCAGTCTCAGATGTTTATAGTATTGTGAGATTGAATTGATATAGAAAATTTGTACCAGTGAATGGACATTGGTATAAAGATACCTAAAAATGTGGAAGCGACTTTGGAACTGCATAATGGGCAGAGGTTGGAACAGTTTGGAGGGCCCAGAAGAAGACAGGAAGATGAAGGAAAGCTTGGAATTTCCAAGAGACTTATTGAATGGTTGTGACCCAAATGCTCATAGTGATATGTATAGTAATGTCTAGGCTGAGGAGGTCTTAGATGGAGAAGAGGAACTTACTGGGAACTAGGGTAAAGGTCACTCTTGGCATGTTGTAGAAAGAGACTGGCAGCTTTGTGCCCCTGCTCTAGGGATCTGTGGAACTTTAAAACACATATGTGTTTGCAAAGAGATGGTCTGAAACTGGAACTTATATTTAAAAGGGAAGTAGAGCATAATAGTTTGGAAAGTTTACAGCCTGACCATGTGATAGAAAAGAAAAACTCATTTTCTGGGGAGAAATTGAAGCTGGCTGTAGAAATTTGCAAAAGTATAATAAAATATTAAAAAATAAAAATAAAAAAGAGGAGCTGAATGCCTAAGACAATGAGGAAGATGCCTCAAAGCATTTTGGGGCCATTCACCACAGCCCCTACCATCACAGGCCTGCAGCCATAGGAGGGAAGAATGGTTTTGTGGGGCAGGCCCAGGGCCCCACTGCCCTGCACAGCCTCAGGACATTGCTCCCTGTGTCTCAGCTGCTTCAGCTCCAGCTGTGGCTAAAAGGGTCCCAGATAACATCTCAGTCAACTGCTCCAGAGGGTGGAACCCGTAAGTCTTGGCAGCTTCCACATGGTATTAAGCCTGTGGGTCGCAGAGGACAAGAGTTGAGGCCTGGAAGCTTCTGCCTGGATTTCAGAGGATATATGGAAATGCCTGGATGTCCACACAGAAGCCTGCTGCAGGGGTACAGCCCTCACGGAGAACCTCTGCTAGGGCAGTGCAGAGAGGAAATGTAGGGCTGGAGCCCCCACACAGAATCCACACACTGGACACTGACTAGTGGGGCTGTGAGAAGGGAGCTACCATCCTCCAGACCAAAGAATGGTAGGTCCACCAACTTGCACTATATGCCTGGAAAAGCCTTAGGCACTCAATGCCAGACTGTGAAAGCAGCTGCAGGAAAGTACCTCTGCAGGGCAACAGGGGCAGAGCTGCCCAAGGCTGTGGGAGCCCACCCCTTACATCAGTGTTGCCTAGATGTGAGACATGGAGTCAAAGGAAATTATTTTGGGCCCCTAAGATTTAATGACTGCCCTTCTGGATTTTGGACATGACCTAGGGCCTGTAGACCCTGTCTTTTGATCACTGTCTCCCTTTTGGAAAGGGAGTATTTACCCAATTCTATACCTTCATTGTATCTTGGAAGTAACTAACTTGTTTTTTATTTTACAGGGTCATAGGCAGAAAGGTCTTGCCTTGTCTCAGATGAGACTTTGGACTGTGCACTTTTGAGTTAGTGCTGAAATGAATTAAGACTTGGGGCACTGTTGAGAAGGGATATGAGATTTGGGAAGGGCCGAGGGTGGAGCGATACACTTTGGATTTGTGTCCCCGCCCAAATCTCATGTCAAATTGTAATCTCCAGTGTTGGAGGAGAGC